AATGGATCGCGCGCGCCGGTATTTTATCCCTATCATCACTTCTTGGGCCGTGCAAGACGTGGTTCAAGGAATGATCATGACGCCTGGCGATGTTGAAGATGATGATCCGAACAGCAGTGCGGGCGTGTTCGAACTTCCACGAAACGTGGCGTACGACCAACTCGCATCCGCCACCCGTAGTCTGGGGACTAGCCTGAGCGGAAGTTACCCTCCTGTGACAGCTGTTACCCGCAGAGCGAACGGTACACCCCGCATGCAGCGGCAGCGCTGGAGAACTGTCTATGGGACTGTTGGCATTCCTTTAAACAATGTTTCGAATGCGAGGCATGTCAGTATTGTTTTGCGCGACTGTTCCGCAGGTGACCACGATTCCCCCTTTATATTGCCTTTGTTCTAAACGTCTTCAGCACTCATGCTGCTGACTCAGGCTGAGTATCGGCATAGAGATATCAGTCTCTACAATATGTACCTAGTGGAAGAGAAAGTCAAGGAGCCATCTGGAGCGCTAAGTGACCTCGAGTATGCGGCCGATTGGAACTCCCGCACTGCGTTGCACACGATACGAACTGTGAGAGCCCTCTAAATTCTCTTGATGCACGTTGCTGATGACGCTATCAGGGTACCCCGATCTTCATGGCGGCAGAAAAGCTTCTCGGTCGGTGGTTGTACCTCCCCGACAATGACGATGACGATGAAAGTGGAACAGATGAGCTCTCCGATCCCTTCACCCGGGCACGCACAATATTTGTTCCACCATCGGCAGACCAGGCACCTCAGGTGAACATGCCAAAGCCCAAGTCTTGGGTCACCCCTCTGCATGATGCTGAAGACTTGTATTGGGTGGCCGTATATAAGCTCTTCTATAGCGTGCCTGCCGCTAATCCGGTGCCGGCCCCACGACAGGTTGAGATCCGGAATCTCTTGTTCGGGTTTGGACCTGACACGACCATCAATCGGAAAGACTTTATCAGCCGTGGTCGGCTGTCGGATCCCTGGAAGCCAGAAGCAACTGACGAGGAAATGGTGCCCGCCGCATTCTTGCCCTGGTGGTTGTCGTTAAAGGGCGTCGGGAAAGCCATCAAGAAGGCCCACTATCCTTATCAGGCGAGTTGGAGTAACGATGTCTTTTACCCCAATCTACAGCGAACCTTTCTCATTTACACCAAACTAGTGGATGCCATGCCAACGGATCTAGAAATTGCGGTTTATCCTGACCCTAAGGAGGACGCGGCACGGATAAACAAATCGATACCATAGAGTGAATCTCCCAGTCAAGGCCCGGCGACGAAGAAACGCAAAACCGATAACGAGTAGTTTTTGTGCTCCCACAATACCCCTGTAGAGATATACAACTGGGACACTCCTTGATGTATCATACAATTGCTGCTGGAATGTAATAAAACAGAAGAGGATGGTTGTATAGCACTCCCTGCGTGAGTCCCATCGTAGAATCCTATATACTGAAAGCAATCCGAAGAAGCCGGGGGCAAAACCACGCGCGAAAAGCACGTGGTAGGAAGTAAATCCGGACCCTAAGTCCAAATTTAGAAGTGGAACTAAATCTGCTTCCACTGCGGCAGTGCGGGTCCCTAGGAGGGCTGAGGGTTACTTAACCCTGGCCCTTTTTAAACCCTACATCTAACCCATATCCCCAAATATTCAACATATAATATATTAAATACATGCATGCAAGGTATAGCACACATGATGTATATTGACTATAGAGCTACATAGACTGGAAAGAAGACTTATATAACCTTAACCAACAAAAATATTCTACCCTGGACCTTTACTATATAAAGCACTCACAGAAATAGGATATTGGAGAGGGGATGGGAGACAGGATACAGGAGGTGGGCCACCAGATACAGGACATGGGAGACAGCAGATGGCAGATGGAAGATGGCAGATGGCAGATGACAAATGGCAGACAGCAGACAGCAGATGAGAGAGGGGAGATGGGACACAGGACATGAGACACAGGAGATGGAGCATGGGACATGGGACACAGAAGATGGGACATGGGACACGGGAGATGGGAGATGGGAGATGGGACACAGGACATGGGACACAGGACACAGGACACAGGACACAGGACACAGGACACAGGACACAGGACACAGGACACAGGACACAGGACACAGGACACAGGACACAGGACACAGGACACAGGACACAGGACACAGGACACAGGACACAGGACACAGGACACAGGACACAGGACACAGGACACAGGACACAGGACACAGGACACAGGACACAGGACTCAGGACACA